ATTCTTCAATATTTACTTATTTAGTTTAACATTTATTGAGTACCTTTCTTCTCCAGTATGTGCTGGAACATGGCATCTGTCTTGTATATAAAGAGATATGTAAATATAGATATAGGTAGAAACTTATTTATAAAAATAAACATAGAAGTGAAGATATAAAAATAAATATGATAAGATGATAATACAGTGTGAGTATTTAGAGAACATCATGTTTATTTTAAAATAGTTTTATTTTAATACATTTAGCTTTTTGATCAACTATATATTTGTAGGTCTGACAATCAAGTTGCCATAATTTTTAAATATTATGAAAACTCCAAGACAGAAATTATTTAGATTCTTTAGAATAGTTGAAAATATTTATTAGATTAAATGTCAATATCCTGTTAAGCAGATTCATTTTCAGGAACTCATAAAATTTTTCTACTAATGAAATCCTAAAGACCCAATCATTCATTCACCTTGAAGACAACTTGTCCAATCTGATTTTTTTCATACTATAGTTTTTATTCTCTAATTTATGGTAATTGCTCTATCCCTTTATACAAAATGTTTTTATTTTTTATTTTTCTCTAAATAAATTTCATTTGGACAATATGTATGTAAAAATGAAACAAGTACTTTCCTGACAATTAAAATGTTGAAAAATTTCTAGATTTCTCCATCAAATTCTCCAGTGTTATTGTCTATATTGTTCTAGTGGCATTTTATGACGAAATGAAAATTTATAAAGGACCCATCCGAATTCTGCAAAGGGAAGAAAGAGAGACAGACCCTCTTTTGGCATTAAGTTGTTATTCCCCATCCATCTGGAGTAATCTTACCTGTTACTATCTTTTCTGAAAACTCCTGGCTTTTTTGTTATTTAATAAAGCTTCTACAATCATTCAGCAAAGCTTATTTGAGAAACTATTAATAGATTTATTCTGAACTCACCAAACAATTTCATGTCCTGTCAGAATTCCATCACCCCTGAACTCATTGAAAATGCAAATTGTAAATTGTTTGCAAAGAAAATATGAGATCCATTTTTAATATGTGCCAAAGTGTTCCGTAAGATGCCATAAAACTGGAAATAAAACATTGATTTTTAAATTCCAGACATTTTTTTTCCTTGAGTCATTACTCGAGTTAATACATTGTAAAAACCACAGTGGTAAGTAGGATAGTCCTAACTCTCAAAGGTGAAGATAACTTCAAAATGATAGCATGAGATGTATTTGTAAAGGTTGTGTTTAAAATCCTGTAGGCATAAAATGGTAGAGAAATTTTTTCAAGGGGAACAGAGAGCTGACAAGGTAAGGATAGAATGGCAATTAAAGAAAGCTTTAAGATGTGGATGACATTTGGAGAATATTTCAGGCAATATTTCAGAAATCAAATGAGCAATAAGATTCAGAAAGTGCAAGTGACTAATAAATATTTACGGATTTAAATGGTCCTAGTGATTGTCAGATCTATTTTTTTTTTTTTTGGCAATGGGTTGAATTTCCACATTATAAACTATGGATTTTTTGAGTGTTGAATGTATTTTTATCACCTTTTTATAACTCGTTCCCCACAGATAAAGTAGATGTTTCCATATTCACCCATCTGCTAATCAGGGATCATTTTGAAATTAAGTGTAAGAAAAAAGAAAAAAGGCCATGAAGCTGTGTTACATCTTGAAGTGCATTAAAATATAAAAACAAAAAATAAGAACACACTCCAAATGACTCATTTGTTTTTCAGTATTCCATCACTTAGTGAAAATAACTGGCAGTGTAATAATGTAACAGTGTCATCCTGGTGGAACATAGGGTTCCTGGATTAACACAAGTCTATCTCCTTCAACATCGACATTAAAATGACTTATTTGTTTCTGATTAATGAGGACCTGATTTCTTCCTTCTTGGCATGGTGTCTTTCCTCCTGTTCAGTCTATCTGGACAGGCTACATGTGCGTGGGCATGCACCAGTTTGTGAGATTCTGGAACTCAGTGACTTTGCAACAGTGATAAACCTAACTTCTGGTAACTGAATTTGTGTTCCAAAGTGCCACAAACCACACGGTAAGATGCCACAAAAAGGAGCAGTAACTAGGTCAGCTTTTTGGCAGTGTTTATAGATCAGTAGCTTCAATACTTTCTTGCCAGTGATTAAATAGAGCTGAGAATTTTTTTCCCTTTATCTTTGTTTAGCAGAATAGAAAAACTCAGATTAACGGATGGGGAATGGAGAGGAAAAAAAAGGAACCTTTTTGCAGAATAGAAGTTAAATTGCCAGTGATCTAGAGCCCAATCACATACGAAGACATAGTACTTTGCATAGGAGTGCACTCTATGGGTATAGTCAGAATGTGTGCTGTAGGTGGGTTTCTGTTGGGAGGGGATAGATGTGATCTTCTCTGGCTTTCCCACAGTCCTATCATACTGTGTGGCTTCTGGCTGTCAACAAAGTCTCCAGAACAGTGCCATTTCTCTAGCACTTTTCATTAGATCATCTTACGTAATCGGTAAGACAATGGCTATTTTAAGATAATGGAGAAATGCTCTAGACTTTGTTGCATAACATGAAGCTTCAGCAGAGGACAAGTCTTTACTGTTCAGAGAGTTCTCCATCTTCAGAGCATGATTAACAGTTCTGCATAGTATTCACCAAGTACAAGTGCCATTGCCCTGTGCAAAGGCGAACTCAGCTTTCTAGTCCTGGAGGTACTCTTTCCAGTGAGTTCAATGGTTAAACAATGGATATAGAAGAAGGCAAAAAGCCAAGATGGAACTGGAGAGCAAACATTTGGGAGAAAGCCTTGAGGAATGTAATAGACGTGTTTTGTAAAACGCCAGAATCATTACCTTTCTCGATGCTTAGAAAAGAAATTGTCTTAAAATGCAGTATCTCTTTTTCCCCTTCATCCTAGTAAATCCAGTCAACAGGATTTAGCTTTGGGAAGAAGCCCAGAAGGTTTAAAATTCTTCAAGAAAAAAAGTATATTTTTAGAATTATGGTAACAGCTGCTAAGAAATGTATTTCTATTTTGTAGTTAGTCTGAGCTGCCTAACATAAATGTGTGGTAGAGAAAGATAACAGAGATAAGGCAAGTGAAGAGAATCATAGCAAAATGAACACTGCCTTTGGTTGTTGAAGAAAAAAAATTGATACTAAAGATGGCATTTTATCAAAATAAAACTATAAATTGTACGTCTAAGAGCTATAATTAGATATATACCCTCTCCACCCTGCTTCTCCTACCTCCTTCTATGTTTTATCTATTTATAAATCTTTCCTAATGGAATCTTAGGGAGCATTAGCATGTACTATAGATCTTATTAAAAATATATAGATCTTATTAAAAATCACTTTCTGATGTCTCCAAATACACTACCACCTGTCAAATAATCTATCAAAAATTAAATAGTTTAAAGATGTTTAAATTTAAAAATAATTTGAAGATGTTTAAATAAAGCTTCCATTAATTTAACAAATGAATTCTTTTTCAAATGACTAAATGAACTCATCATTGTTTATTTTCTTATATGCAATTTTGTTTCTTAGGTTTATTAGTAAAGCATAGGTTAAGAACAAGTAGAAACAAATATGCGTTGCAATCTTATATATTGAAATGGTTATTATATTCTAGTTTCTGTTTTGCTTGTGATGGGGTTTATTGAAAAATACTGGCATCACATGTTTGGGAAGTGATTATCAACTCTAGAGCATTATGTATGTATGTGTTATGTTTCTAAGTCTTGTACTTATTTTACCACCCCTGGAATTAATGGCAGGGGCTCTGTCTTCAAACACAAACATACATATACTTTTCTTTTCAATCAATTCCTCACTGAGAAATAGATTGGGGTTGATACTAAAATGGCATATCATTTGCAACCAGGGGATTGCTATAGAAATTTTATTTATTCTCTTGCTCTTTGTTTAGTGCAGTTAATTAGATTAACAATACATTGTTGTCTTGATTAATAACAATCACTAAAGAATATTAGGAAAACTCAGTGTTTTACAGTTCAATTTTTTTAGTAATTATCCTGTGGTCTAGAATAACACATTTTACTTAGTCCTTAATTTTACTTTCCTGGATTTTCTTGGAAATAATGTTCTGTGGTTTTGCTGATTGTCTATGTACACACAATGAAGCTGGCACATCATATTTTTCTGATTTTTATCCTAGAAGATGGAACTCATTACCACCATCAACCATCACTCCTACTCTTCTTTTCAATACCTCAAATTCATGTGCTTATTCTTTATTCTTTCCTCTGTCATCGTGTACTTCTGAATAACTGATTGTTTTTTCTTTCTTTCTCCAAATTCCTTTTTTTCACTTTGATGTACTTCAGAGGATTGGGAAAGGCATTTCACAGAGAGGCCAAAAGAATGTCTGCAATCTGTTTAACAAACAGCCTTCCGCCAGCCCTGACAATACAATCTATTCTATATTTCATAATATTATTATCTTTCTCCCCTATTGGCAATCTGAAAAAGATTAAAATAGTATTGCTCACGTTTGACTATAAAACATGCCATGGAACCACTTTGGAAAGAAAAGTCAATTTGGTATCCTGGGAAAAGATAATTATAGCAAACCTTTCCTCTCCTTTACTGTTGGGATCATGCCTTACTCCTTATATCCATAGTATCTGTTACAAGAACTAACACATCCGGAGTTAGACAATTAGCTATTGCGCTAAATTTAATTTAATTTACATTTATATTTTGAGTATAAGTTGAACATTTTTGAGTCTACTTTTGCCAATCAATACTGTTAACTGAATTCCAAAACATTTTCTCCTTCAATTATTCACATTCCATTAATGAGAACATAAAATATAGAATAAAAGATGGTTAACTAATAATTAACAATGGTTCTTTATAACCAAAATATTAGCAGTTATTTATTGAGTATTTTTATATATCCAGGACTTCCATAAGTATTTTTCATATATATTCTTATTTTATACTCAAAATAAAAGCATAAGTCAGATATATTATTATCTCTTTTACAGAAGAGGAAATCCAAGCACAAAAAAGACAAGTTACTTGCCCAAGATCATATAGAAAGTAAGTATAAGTTGGAATTTGAGTCAATGAAATCTAAACTGAGAGCAATCAATGAAAACTATTGTTTCAGGTTTATATGATAAATTTTATTTTTACATTAGATAATAACATGTATTTATAATCCCAAAAAGGGCGCCAAAATTTAATTTAAGCTTTTTGTTGGTGTACTATTTTGACTGTCATAATTTTCACAAGAGAAAATTGGAATGTAGAAAAATAATAACATAGTCACATGCACAAAATATCTATTTTCAGAGGTAATGCTTTATGAATGACATAAGGAAAAGATGACAGGAAAAGAATATCCATCATGATCAAAATTTGGAACTCAGATTTATTTGGAAGAATTGATTTAAAAAGTGGTCACAATTCTTCCTCTCCCTGAATCTGAGTTATTTGTAAAATAATGTTGCCATCCCTTCTATCAAGAGATTTCTTGAATCAAGTCTGGTATCACTGTAATGTAATGGAATTGATGTGCCAGTTCTAGGCATTATTTTCAAGAGGCTTTCCATGATTCCACTCTGTGACATACAGCCCTAGCTTGAGTATTTGTGTATTAACATCAATGAGGCCCAATAGCCCTATCTCTGCACTCAACAACCAGCAAAATCCCAGCAGTGCCACCCAGCTAGCCTGTCAGTTGACCATAAATGCATGAGCAATTCTACTCAAGATTAACCAATTCAGATGAACATAAAAGTGCATCTGATCCAAAAATTTGTAAAAAATCATGAATTGTTATTGTTTTAAATATCGAAGTTTTGGAGTGTTTTGTTCTGCAGTAATAGATAATTATACCGCACCTATTACAATTACTTAGATATTAATAGTGATGCTTTAATGTGAAAATGTGCTTGGTATGACTTTTAATGTGAAAATGTGCTTGGTATGACTTCATCTCATGCATTTTAAACTGTTACAACTTTCCTAAAAAGCATCAGAACAAAAAGAAAGTTTGCTTTTGTGACTTTTCAGCTTGCTGCCTATGGTAGTGGCATTGCCCATAATAATTTGTCATGCAATTTGATTTTTAAAGCTCAAAATTAATTACAAACATGAAACAAATCATGGTGTTAAGACATACATTAAAAACAAATTACAATCTCAAAATAGGTAATTTACAGCTTAGAAAGTTAATTGATTAACCCAAAGTACATAAAAATAATTGGAAAAATTGAGGAGTGAACAAACCAGTAACAATGTTACCCAACTAAATAGAAAATAATGTATAATGAGCAAAAACCACAGCCAAAATATCAATAGTCATAATTAAACCATAAAACCCTAAGTGAATATAGGTTGAAATAAATATTTAGAGAGTGTTTGTATATTACAGTAATGGACAGAAATCAGGTCCTACTTTTCTACAAATCAAAAGTATAAATTATAACAGTGGCATCAAAATCAGATGAGATTAGGTACATTCAGGGTGGTATGGTAATAGACCATTGGCATCAAAATGAGGCAGAAATTTTAAAGAAACAAAAGATATACAAAAGATACTATACGTTAAAGAAGCTGCCAATAAGTAATTTAATAAGAGTTCCATCAATTACTATTAATATCTTATTCATTTCTTATTAACATTTACTTTTATGAAATCTATATGTATAAAATTTATTCAAGAGTTTATTGATAATCTCAAAATAATAAGATAAATAAGGTAAATAATAATATAGCATTTTATCCAAATAAAAATCTATTCTAAGTCTTATATTTTTAATGCATATTTTAAGAATGGTGAAAATTTGGATTTAATATTTGTCCAAATATTACAAGATATTAAATATGTATGAAGGTCAAGGTATGTTTCAATCATTGTCTACCTGTGAAAGCTTTTAAGTGGCCAAATTTCCATTATATTGTTGTATATAAAATTTGTCACATACATCCTCACAGAGAAGTTTAACACAAAACGAACATTTTCAGCATTATCCATGTCATGGAATTGAAATAGACTACATTTTCATTCAGTTTGGTACTAACAGTTTCTATGCGCTCAACTTATTACCAAATAATTAAATACTTCATTCCTGGATCCCCCTTAGACAAGGTTTAGGTTTTCATTAATTCATCCATGTCTTCATTTGGCTTCTCTTCAAAGGAGACCCTAAGACCAGAACTTAATTCAGGTAGTTTACTTGGGATTGGTGTAGGAAGTAAAAGCCATGAACAAGGGAAATGATCATGAAAGGTGGTGGGTAACAATACGTACATGCCAAAGCAATTTTCAACAGTGTTGGCAGCTAAAACCCAAACCAGGACCCTTGGGAACCTTGTTAAAAAAACATGGAGTTAAAAAATTACAAAGAGAGCAATAAAATCCCATAGACTCCCTGACTCTTAATGCTTATAGAAAAATTTGATGAAATCTAAATAAAATAATATTTGAAGTCATATAAGAATATAAAAGGAGTGATTGACCTAGGCAATAGGGCTGAGAATGAACACAAACATGCTAATACATTCTTTATGTGTTCATGTATCGATTCATTTAGTCTAAGGCTGATTATACCTAAAGTCTTTGGTAATAAATTTATTCTTGAATGTTAAACCCATAAATAATTATTTTACTTTCCTGAAATATATAATAATATGATTTCTAAGCTCATCCTATCATTCAGATACTGTTTAGTGAGTACCTTTTTGGCTGTGAGATATTATTAAGAACTCTGCTATGCTGAGTACAGTGGTGCATGCCCGTAATCTCAGCGACTCAGCAATTTATTGAGACCCTGGATCAAAATTAAAAATAAAAAGGGCTGAGGATGTTACTCAGTGGTTAAGTGCCCTGGGTTTAATTCCCAGAACCATACCAAAAAAAAATAAAAATAAAACAACCACAACAAAAATTCTGCTATGAAGGCAATTCAAGGGAGAAAGGAGTCGACAAAACTCTTCAAACTTGACCTTACATTATACACAGACGTCAACTCAAAATGGATCATAGTTCAAAGTGTAAAACTGAAAATAAATTCATATTATGGAACTCATCAGGAGTGAACACAACTGCCTGTCAGAAGACAATTTCAGGAAAATGAAAAGGAAAGCCATAAACTGAAAGAAAACATTTGCAAAGCTTATATCTGATAAATGACATATTTCTGAAGTATTAAAAAGAACTGTTAACTCAAAACTGGGAAAACAAACAGTCCAATAAAAATGGGCAAAGAAATTTAAACAGACAGTATATTAAAGAAAATATAAGGATGCAAAATGAGAACATGTAAAGGTGTTGAATGTGATTAATCAATAAAACAATGAAAAAAATTAAAACAACAATAGGTTACAGATACATACCTATCAGAGTGGCTAAAATTAAGACTTGAGGAAGGTACAGAGAAACAAGGACTTTTATACTCTGTTGATTAGGATGCAAATGGTGACACTACTTAGGCAAAGAGTTTTGAAGCTTATTAAATAGTTAAAAATATAACCACCGTATAATCCAACCATTCCACCTCTACATGTTTTCCACAAGAGAACAGAAAGCATACATCCATGGAAAGATGTGAGCAAGAATAGTCATGCTAATTTTATTGGTAAAATAACATGTTATTTTGTGAAATGGATTTCTAAATGTGTCAGCAAAAGATAAGGTCTGGATGCCTAGTCTTTTCAGAAAAAAAATGGTTAGAATAAATTGATTGGGACTACCTGAGGGAAAATAATATGATTTATACAAAAGAATTTAGGTGATTTATTTTTTAAATGTATTTTTAATGGACAAGTAATAATTATATACATTAATGGGGTGCAAATGTATTATTTCGATATATCTATCATATCTCATATCTATTGATAAGTGAATGGATAGTCAAAATGGTATTTACATATGTTGGAATATTATTCAATAATATGGAGTAAACAACTATTCCACACAACATGGATAAATCTCAAAATAATTATGCTAATTGAAAGAATTCAGACAAGAGTCGAGTGTCCTTTGTGTGTTTCTATTTATATACAAGTCTGAAATAAGAAGTTGCTGTGTAGTGGTAAATCTTACATCAGTGGCTTCCTGGTGCAGGAGAGCAAGCAGGAGGGAAAGGGGAAACGATTTGAAAGAGACACTAGGTAAAGTTAGAGGGTGATGCATATATTTCTTATCTTGAACGCAGTGATTGCTCACAGGTGCAAATGTTTGTCAAAGCTTGTTAAATTGTGCATTTTAAATCTGAACAATTTATTTACCTCAATAAAGCTGTTAAAAATAGAAAAGAGAACTCTATTCTGGTCTAGGTTGTATCAAACATATATGAAAATTAGCAGCTTTGCTTAATCTTAAGAATATTCATTACCCAAGCTGAGACAATTTGGATGTGACTGAATCTGTCTGCAGGCAAGAAGATGCACATCCTAAGTGGAGAATATCAAACCATGCAGTTAAAAGAATGTTAGGAACAAACAGATGGGAATACTGGGAACATGAGGTTAAGAAAATAATTCTATAAAATGGGCCCACTGTGATAACTGCAGGAGAAATGCAGGCCCAAAATAATGCTGATAAACCCAAGTGACCCTGGAGGGGGAGACTTTTGTGACCAGGTCCTGAATCTCTGGAGGTAAGGAGAGTTCCTCCTAACCATAAAACCTGTAAGAATGTATGGTTAAGAATCTAATTAGAACGGGTCAGCCTAGACCAAGGTGACCTAGAGTCTCCATGTTAGTGGGTACTTAAAAGTGTGATGTCATCTTGTTGTCAGTCAAAAATCAAGAGGTGGACCTGGGCTAGACTCTCTGGAAACTTCTCTGGGATCTCCAATAAAACTGGAGTACAGGAGAGGCACATTGTCCCTCTCCTCTCTAAGAGAACTACTCTGTCCCATGCAAGGGTCTCCTTTCCTTTTTCCTATCCTTTCAATGAAATTCATACCTGTTACTTTAAGTGACATGTCTGAAATCTTTCTGATTCATCACAAGAAGCAGGGTTTGAAGAGGGGTGTGCTGCCTTAGTTTCTTGGCTCTGTAACAAGAGCATCACATAGAGAAGACAA